TTCAAATGAAGATTCGAGAAGATGGGGATTGATTCGAGCCAAGGGAGTAGTGGATTCGTAACCAGGGTGTTAAGGTGGATCTATGGTGTTAAGGAGGTGGCCGGCGGCGTAGTTGCCGCCGGGTTTCAGGCGAAGCGGAGCTATGGAGGCTAGGGTTTGACCTAGGTTCCGTCTCTGAAACGAGAGAGACAAAGTGAGGAAGGGGGGGTGTTTGGCTATGGGGGCATGGGGTGAGAGATGGGGTTTTATATACGAAGGGGAGGGATGGATCTTGACCGTTGGATCAGGTGAGATTGATGGCCAGGATCTCTTCACTTAAGGGAACGGTGCCATTTTGATTGAGTGGGGATTGGGTCGGGTCATGAGGGAAAAACTGGGAGCCGTTAGATCAAAAATAATGAATGGTCCCGATCAAATACAACCATTCGGCGTCGTTTGGTTTAATGAAAGAACTGAACTGGACCGTTAGATCTGTTTGATCAACGGTCGAGATGGAAAGCGCCAATACGGCGTCGTTTCCTTCGTCTGAGAGACCAGCTAACCGGACTGGGTCAAATGAGTTGATTTGGGCCTGGTTTTTTGTCTCAATTTTAAGCCCACATCTGAATTCCTTCATTTTTTGAACTCTTTTTCTTTTCCTTATTTAATTTCTAATTTAAACACAATTCCTAATTAAATTGCAAAATCAAAAATAAAACTACACAAATATTAATTAACACTTACAACAATTAACACACAAATTAAAACCTTAAAATAAAATCACACAATGACAACAAATAGAATAAAATGCATATTTTTGTGATTTTCCTTTTATAGCCAAATGATGGTTTAATTAATTCCTAAGTGCATAATTAAATCCTAAATATGCATGCAACATGTATTTTTGTATTTTTCAATTAACTACAATAAGGTAAACATTTACGGACAAAAATAATTACCAAAAATGTCACGCAAATTCTCAAAATTTTACCCGAAGGCAACTTGCTTTATTTCTCGATTTCTTTTGGAGTAATTTACGTGAAGCAAAAATCACGTGCTCACAATGCTAACTACTTGCTTTTCTCTGCTTAAAGGAGGTCTGTTTGAGCCTTTTCATTTTTTTATATGCTTCCCCATACTTGCCATATATGTTTTGTTTGTCGCCTTAGTATTTTTACCTTTTGAAACCACAAGTAAGCCCAATATCCCACCCATTTAGGATTAGTAGTCCCAAATGCCTCCGGGACTTATAGGATTGGGGCGGGTAATAGCATGCAATAAGTAAACGGGACCATTCCGCGCTTTAATACCTCAATGGGGTGGGAAAGGGTAGATATGGATATGATGACCACGCAATAACATCTCGTGTAGCCCCTCATTGAGGAGTGATTACCGGATGTTGTGTGGGGTGATCCATATTATTTACAAACCTAGAACTCCTTTTCCTTTATTTATTTATTTATTTCGTTGTTTAATTTCAAACTATTTCCTAAAAAAATCAGCTTTTCTTTTAGTTCTTTTAACTTCACCTATTTTGTAACCATTATGTGAAAATCCCCTATTGTTTGAAGTTCTTATTTTCCTACATGTTATTTGTACCTAAAGTCACAACAATGATTTGGCCGGGAACCACACTAGTGGATCTTGAGGGGTGCCTAATACCTTCCCCTTGAGATAATTTCAAGCTCTTACCCAATCTCTGGTTGTTCAAATCAAACTTTTATTAGTGTCCTAATGCTCTTAAATCATTAGGTGACGACTCTTCATATCAAACCCATTCCCGAAAGGGAACGAGTTGTCCTCCCAAATGTCATAAACCCGATTTCGCGAGAAAAAGGGGGCGCGACAAGTGCTTTTGGAGAGAAACTACTTTTTTCTGTTTCTCCTCAAAAGTACTTTTTTTCCATCCAAAAGCTTGGACCAACACCTCAATTTTTGGCCAAACAGGCTATAGGTCATGAAATACAAGCCTAAACCATTTTAGCTATTTCTTAGCCCAAAAATAAAGAAATCCTAAAGGGAAATTTTCGTTCCTATACCATATAGGAAACTATATTACCAAATATGTTCATAGTTTGCATATTACCCGCCATGCTAATAGTATTTCTACAAAAATATAGACAATTCATTAAATAAGGAATCATTGTAGTTGTAGGCTTCCTTATTTAGGCGCGCTAATATTGGAAAATTAAATATTCCCACTCTCCTAAGTTTCTCTCTCCTAATCACACCACTTCACTCACGTATCAAACCACACCCCACGATTTCCTCTTCAATCACCCACGATTTTCTCTTCTAAAACCAACGAAAATCTGTAACCCCTCCACCATTGATAACCATTAAAAAGTTTTGAAGCTTTGAATTCGAATTCAAATTTGGATTTTCAAAAGACATTGTTCGTTCGGATTAGATGTTGTTGCAAAGAATTGAGAATTCTCTCTACGTCTCTCTCTATCTCTCAATCCCAAATTTCAGTAATATAAGAAGAAAGGAAAAGAGAGTAGCAATTCCACCATTGACAGCCATTAATAAGCTTTGAAGCTTTGAATTCGAATTTGGGTTTTCAAAAATCATTATTTGTTTGGATTGGGTGTTGTTGCAAATAATTGGAAATATGGTTTGGAGTTTATATCTCAATTGTGAGGGGTTTTGGTGATGATTAGACTTGATTTTGGCTGGNTTTTGAGGGGTTTTGGTGAAGATTAGACTTGATTTTGGCTGAATTTCAGATTGAAACTCGAAGAAGAAGAAGAAGAAGAAGAAGAAGAAGAAGAAGAAGAAGAAGAAGAAGAAGAAGAAGAAGAAGAAGAAGAAGAAGAAGAAGAAGACATGACATACATTATATTGCAAAAATTGTAGAAAAATTGTACTCTATTGTTTATTTATTTTTCTTTTATTCATTTAATTATTGTATGAAAGTTGAACAACATTGTAAAAAAATTGTATTAAAGTGGTATTATATTGTAATTGTATATATCCGAAAAAATTATAGAAATCAAATACATTATCAACGAGCATTGTCCTCCAATGAAAACTAGGAACGATATGGGTGTTCGTGTATACATGGAGACGAAAAAGAAAAACAAAAACTTAGGATCATATCCGCTGTGTATAACTGTTCACGATTTCAATATGGAATTGAGTATCACCAATGAGAACAATTGCATATTTGTGCTGTTACATTTTATATCAAATTCTGGTTGTATATAAATGTCCTACACTTTATCTACAAATAAACTATATGTCAGAGTAAATATATATATCAGTATGGATTTTCACAATATCTACAAAAATTTTACATTTAGAATACAATAAAACTACATTTCATTTGAAAAATTAATATGAAAATACAGAATTTCAATATTTCTAAAAATTATCTACAACATTTCTACAAACTGTTCATAACAGAATTTATCTTTATTTTCATGCAGGTTCGTCTGGAACACTAAAGTTACTTGATATGCCAACATCTCCCATTATAGAGGAATACAACTTATCTACAATTTTCTACAACTTTCACACATTATTCCACCTAGTTAAATACAACTACAATAACATATAACTTAAATACAAATTTTATACAAAATTTATACAATATGTCTTTTGTATATTTTGTATCTGATTTATACATAGTAAAAACAAATTTTATACAACTAATTATATATTATACAACTTATCTGAAAATTATCTATAATTTTCGTATATTATTTTTACTAAGTTATATACAACTACAAAATAATACCACTTAAATGCAATTTTTTTACAATATTGTTCAACTTTCATACAATAGTAAATGAATAAAAGATAAATAAATAAACAACATAATATAATTTTTCTACAATTTCTACAATATAATGTATGTCATGTCTTCTTCTTCTTCTTCTTCTTCTTCTTCTTCTTCTTCTTCGAGTTTCAATCTGAAATTCAGCCAAAATCAAGTCTAATCTTCACCAAAACCCCTCAAAATTGAGATATAAACTCTAAACCATATTCCCAATTATTTGCAACAACACCCAATCCAAACAAATAATGATTTTTGAAAACTCAAATTCGAATTCAAAGCTTCAAAGCTTTTTAATGGCTGTCAATGGTGTAATTGCTACTCTCTTTTCCTTTCCTCTTATACTACTGAAATTTGGGATTGAGAGAGAGAGAGAGACGTAGAGAGAATTCTCAGTTCTTTGCAACAACATCCAATCCAAACAAATAATGTCTTTTGAAAACCCAAATTCGAATTCAAAGATTCAAAGCTTTTAATGGTTATCAATGGTGGAGGGGTTACAGATTTTTGCTGGTTTTAGAAGAGGAAATTGTGGGTGATTGAAGAGGAAATCGTGGGGTGTGGTTTGATACGTGAGTGAGATGGTGAGATTTGGAGAGAAAAACTTGGAGAAGTGGGAATATACGGTTAAGTGAAATTAGGAGACTAATTAATACCATTAAAATCCTAAAATGGTACATAAATAGTAATTAGGTATATAGAAGATAATTATATTAAAAGTTAAACATTGAAGGTTTACCGTATGGACATATAAAAATTCCAATCCTAAGTCACCTAGGGTATTTATTTTTTACTCCATCATCACATCCGCTCCCATAGTTTCACTCGTTCTATTACCCCTTTCCTCTTACAAGCAAAGCTTCAGTATTCTTAACTATGGCAGAAGCTTGCCTCGCCGATTTTGAGTAAGTCCTTTGTCTCTCTTCAAAACCCGTGACTCTTCTCTCTCTCTCTCATTTGCAACGAGATTTAGTCAACACAAGAGGCCAAAAGACTTTGGGCATTTCGATTTTTCTGACCAAATCACGTGAGGCTCTTTCGAATTACAACGTTCAGATTCAAACGGTTTTTTTTACTGAAATTCAAATCCTTGATTTCAAATTTCTGCTCAAGAGGACCCATCCAAAATCATCTCTCAAAGAACCCTAACTTTCCTCTAAAAATACCCTCTTTTGTTTTCAGACGAAGCAGAGGTGGAAGGAACAAGAATCACCACTTTACATTGTCCAAAATACTAAGTCTAAGAAGGACTCCGCCTTTGCTCGAACACTATCAGTTTTACTCTTACCGTTGTTAACTTTCTTTCTATCTCGTTTAACTTTGGTCGTGACAGATATTCGAACTCGTTCGGCTTGAAGTTCGGATCTGTTCGTGACAATATAGAGTAGATTCGGGATTCGATGCCCTAGTTCACTATCCCACAAAAGGTAATAGTCGACCCTGCTTCAGGTTCTCCTATTTAATTTAAAATATTGTGTTTACATAGAAGAATCGCGTTTTAGGTTTCCTTTTCTTTAGTTGTCACTATTTTTAAGTTTTGTTCTTGGTCGAGTTTAGTATAAGCATTGCGCTAGAAATTATGCTTTAACTTTTCTCTAATCGCATCTAGATATATTGTTATTTTGGACAACCTGTCGTGGTATCATGCCTTTAGATTTTCTTAAAAATCAGAATTATGTTTAAAGTTATGACCTGAACATGTACTTAGTGAAAATCATGCTTTTAGGGTCTGTTGTCATCTTTGCGTGAATATTAAAACTTAGGACCTTGTTTCTGATCAATGTGATGTTCTCTAGGTATTAGGCCAAGGATCTCGTTTTTGTGAATTGGGATCATATGAGAAAAATCATGTCTGCTCCTATCTTTTCTTGAAAGATGATGAATTATATTAAGTTTTGAAATACCTCAAATTGAAACAGATTCTAGTTGACTCGATTCACTATGATAAAACACTGATTCTGAGCTTACAAGTTCTTTTTTATAAATATTGACATCCTTTTGCTACTGTCGAATGTTGTAAAATATGTCATTACCTACTCACGTTTAAATCAACTTTTATTTGATTCCTATAGAGTGGACTTTAAGACTTTATATTGATACTGAATAAGAATATTTACTTTTGAAAAAGAAGTGAGAATTCTTCTTAAGGATTTCATACTATTAACTTATAAAAATAGTTGCTTCTCTTACGTTCCAGGTTAGAGTAACATAATTAAGCATGCTTTTGCCAGCATTAGAATTTCAAGTTGTGTATTCTTTTTTCTGCTTAATCTTTCTTCATTACTTTTTGTATTTTGTTTTTGATTCTCCCTCTACCTACTCCTAATTTTTTCTTTCTTTATTTTGTTTTGCATGATCACCGGAGCCCAAGAGTTTCACTTTAAGACTCGATGCCGCAGTGGCACTACATGGAGTCTATACATCCTCACCTTTCCTGCTTTTGCGTTACCTAGACAACAATAAATAGAGAAGAGAAAACCTTCTGGGGAGCTGAACTGGCTCTTTACAACTTCATTTTACTTCATTTATGGCGTACATGTTAAATATTTTTATTTTGATTGTGTCATTGATTGTTAAGATCTGAAGTTACGATACAATTATAGCTATATCTTGTTTAACTGTGCAGGTTTTATTTTATAACGAAAGTACTTACTTATCATATAGGTAATTACAGTTAACTGAAGCTCTTTAGAATCTTGATATGTCTTAGATGCTAGTTGTTAAAATTATTACAGTAATAATAACTTTTAAATTTTATCAAATAGTATTTCTAACACACGGTTGCTGCCATCTATGTTTTTCCTCTCACTGTTTCAAGCATTCAAGTCAACTCTATTTCTTTGCTTTCTATAATAACATTTCTGAATTATTGCTGCCATCTATGTTTTTCCTCTCTACTGTTTCAAGCATTCAAGTAACATCTATTTTCTTTGCTTTCTATAATAACATTTCTGAATTAACTTGTCTGATGTTTAAGATTTGAATTTAACAAGTTAAAATTGGCTTTTTGGACTAGATCCACTTTTAGGCAAGAAAGAGCGTTTTTCAATGTTAGAAGCTTAAATCAATTTTCCTTCAAGACAAAGAAAACTCTTCAACATGGTTTTTTAAAGTAAATCTGATTTTCGAAAGATCTCTATATTTACACATCGCATTAATTAATGTAAGTCCGGTCCGGATGTTAAAGGGTGACTTAAAAACCTTTCCTTTAGATTAAATACCTAGAATTTTAGGTTAATAATATTAACAAAGTTATACTTTATTAATACTTTAATCAATTTAGGTGTTCTAATTTAGAAATAATTAGGTGACGACTCTTTTTACTTTAATAAAATTCAGAATTGCTTGTATGTTGTACCTTACTTTAACCTGTTTAAAATGGGGTATAACAGCTGGTCAATCTCTTTTTGAGGTTTTGCAGGATGATTTTGTTCGTGGACTCTGCTTGCCCGTTTCCACTGGGGTGGTAGGGTGTTGACAGGATCCTTTTGATCTTATTGTCTTCCGAAAACTTGCTTACTTTGCTGCCAATGAACTGTTTCCCATTGTCGCACACGATCTCAACAGGCATTCTGCACCGGCATATTATGTGGTCCCAGATGAAATTAATGACTTCCTTCTTCCTGACTTTTTTGAATGCCTGGGCTTCCACCTATTTAGAAAAATAGTTAGTCATAAACAATATAAATTGAGCCTTACCAGTTGCTTATGGAAGGGGGCCGACGATGTCCATTCCCCATTTCATGAATGATTTCCGCAGGTGTCTTCGTGGACATCCCTTAGAAAATATACTCGGTATCTCTTTGTCCTAGAAATATTGTGAGTGGGCCATCAAACATTCTCTGGAGCAGGGTACCATCTTCGAACAAGCTGAATCGGGCCGCTTTCGTACGCAGAGCTCTCGACTCCTTAGGATCCGAGGGTAGTTTTTCGGTCTTTAGATACTCTATATACTTGTTTCTCCAATCCCAAGAGAAGATCGTTCGAGTTCAACAGTCAGGCGTCCACCTGCAGAATGCGAGTCAACAGTCCAAGGTTATCAACAGAAGTTAGTCACAATAAAGAAAAAGAGAGAAAGGCAAGAAGTAAATCCAAATGCAGAAGTTGATGAAAGATGTGAACTGCTTAAGACATGGTGGAAATCACAAGCACTACATGTCCGGTCTTCGTCCGAAAATCTGAAGAAGAACGAGCTAGCACCTGCAACTGGCAAGCGTTAAGGTTCAAATCTAAAGTCTGCATGAAGAACCACTCAAGACTCAAGATCAACCTTCAAAAGACTTATAGATAGGAATCTTGTAACTCGTAGTTGATAGGCTTAGCTAGTCTTTTTCATGTTTTGATTTTGATATAATAGCAGGACTGTGGACCGGAACCTCGACGGAACGACACCTCGACCGGCTCTCCACCTCGGTATACTCCGTCATCTTACTCATCTCTGAACTACACGTGGTCTGATTCCTTTATAGCCAAGGATATGTAGGAAGCCCAGATACCAGGGCTCGGTCACATCCCTTTCTCTCTCAGTTTTAGTCTCTCCAAATAAGGGTCGGGTCAAAAAACCTGTCTAGTCAGTCTTTGTCTGGAAACTGTGTACGTTTCCAGTCAAAGAGAGGCAGCTGTAGACATGTGATTTTTTACCCTCCCCAAGATTTTTCATATTTTAGCGCGTAAATATTTAATTTAGGCATAATATAGATATTTTAAGTAATTTTGACTCTTTTACTTTATTTTATTACAAGAAAACAAAAAATCACAAAAATAGGTTCATTAATGTTGTAGTCATTTTAATCTTAAAAAAAAATCTAAAAAAAAAAATATATACAACAATAGTATCGTATTTTTATTTTAATATAATATTTGAAAATACCAAAAATAGATTTGTTTTAATGGTTAGTTTTATTTTAATAATTATTTGAATAGTAGGAATAATTTACAAATGGGCACGTATTTTTAATCTCGTTCGCAGCGAAAGAATAGAGCTTGGGCTGGAGCAACCCATCTTTAGGCCTAATTTTGGACCTAGCCCACAATTGCCAAGCCCATAATTCTTAGGCCCATACCCCTTAACCTAAAACCCTACCAAAAACCTAGACTATATAAATAAAAGAAAAGCAAAAAATGAAAAGGGGCTGGAACGAAAAAGCAGCAAAAGTTGCGCATAATAACGAAGAAGAGGGCTGGAGAAACAAAAGCTGACGAGCAGTTGCGCATCGTCTTCTTTAGAACACCAGAGAACGACCTCCCGACCCCCCTGCGTCGTCTT